AAAAAAAAAAAAAAAAGGCATTATTTACTGACATCCATACAAAAATGATTACTGGTAATATTCTTTGGAAAAGTCAAAACTTGGAAATAATCTCGAGGTCTATTCATAAAGGAATAAATTATGGCACAACCAAAAATGACACTATACTACCTTTAAAAATAATGACCTGTATGTATGGTTTGGAAGAGTTTTCATCATACCATGCTGGTTAAAAATCCAACTTTTAGGGAAATATATTTATTATGATCCCACTTTCCTGAAGAAGAGAAAACATATGAGTATATGTTTGTTTCAGCCCACAGAAAGGTCTGGAAAGATATTCACCAAACTAAATTGTTAACATGACTTACCTCAGGGAGATGAGAGGGAGAGATTTTAATCTTTCCTTGTAAACTATTGCTTGTTTGACTTCTTCAATAAACATGTATTTTTTTGTAATTTTTTAACATAAATCCCATATTTAATAGTATCCCTGATGGCAGTGAGAAATACAAAAAGTACACTTACATTCCCCATACTTCTGGATTTTTCTGGGGCAGTCCTGCTTGGATATTCTATCATACTGTCAGATCAAGTATTATACAATGGGCCTGCCACTACAGTCTGAAACCTGTCACCATTAAGTATAAGACATGGTCCCTGTTGCTAAGAAACCTTCAATCTGCTGGAGTAAAATACAAAATAAATAACATTATAAAGTGGTATCTGACTAAGGTGGACTAGATAATATTTAAAGTCCCTTCCAACTCTGAGATACCATGACTTTCTAATACTGAATAGTTAAAAAAGAAAACAAAAACTTGGGGCGCCTGGGTGGCTCAGTCGTTGGGCGTCTGCCTTCGGCTTAGGTCATGATCCCAGGGTCCTGGGATCGAGCCCCGCATCGGGCTCCCTGCTCTGTGGAAGCCTGCTTCTCCCTTTCCCACTCCCCCTGCTTGTGTTCTTGCTCTTGCTATCTCTGTCAAATAAATAAATAAAATCTTTAAAAAAAAAAAAAAAACTTAATACATAAGATGTGTAAGGTAATGGCAACAAATCTCCATTAACTACCACTCAGTTATACAAATATTGCCTCTGAAGTCCTCTGTACAACTCCCTAAAGTAACTACTATCCTGAATTTGATTTTTCACTAGTAACTGTCTTTTTCACATTTTCACCAAATGCTTTTTTCCCAAAACAATACGTGTTCTTCAGTTTTGCCTATCTTAGGACTTTATACAAATAGAATCCTTATTCCACAACTGAGACTATCCTGCTGTTGCAGATGGCTATAATTAATTTTCACTTCTGCATAATATTCTGCTGCGACAATATCACAACTTCCTTTTCCATTCCATTATTATGTCCCCATCTTTGACATTACAAGTAGAGTTACAACAGGACTGTGCACGGCTCCTAGTAGACATGGGCAAGTTTCCTGAGGGTATAGTCCTAGGAAGGAATTGTTGGCTAACAGGGTATATACACAACTTGAACTTCAGTAAATAATGCCAAATGTTTTCTAAGTGGTTGTATGAATTTCACTCCTGTCAGAAATATGTATTCTGGATGTTTCCCAACTATGTCAACACTTGCTACTGTAAGACTAAAATTTGGTCCCTCCAAGGGGTCTGAAATATGTCATCATGGTTTCCATCTATACTTTCCTTGATTACTAATAAGGGTAAGCATCTTTTAAATATTTACTGGCCATTCAAATACCTTCAGTGAACTACCTGCTCAAGTCTTTTATCCGTTTATCTTTTGGGTTATCTGACTTTCTATCTCAGAATTTCTCTGAAAATTCTGGATACTAATCTTTATCCATGCTATACGTGTTGCAAACATTTTCTCCTTATTTGTGCCTCATTTTTAAAATTCACTGTATTATCTTGTAATAAAAAAATTAATGCAGTTGAGTTTCATCAGAATTCTTTTATGGTTTGGGCGCCTGGGTGGCTCAGATGGTTAAGTGTCTGCCTT